GTGATACCTTTATGAAGTCTGATATCGCGGGTAATTAATTTCCTACGTTAACGAGAATTGACAAGTTGATTGTAACTGCAATTTTAATGCAATTATTGAGTTCTAAGTATCACAAACTATAGGCGTTATGTTACAACTGGTGCACGTAACTAATTTGGATCTAATTTCGTCGATGTGAAAGTAAGGGTTTCCTAACATTCGAACGCTAACGATGGCGACAGACAGGAGGGCAACGGCGGAGGTAGCTGGAGGAACGGCAATGCGTTTGCCAGACCGCTAACCGGAATGTGCGCTCCAACTCCTCGTCGTCTCGGGGCTCCGCGAAGAGCGGTCGCCGATCAGTTTAAATCCGAGGAGGTGCGAGAGAGATAAAGACTGATGAGAGCACACACGGAGGAGGAAAGAGAGGAAGAAAGAAGGCAAGAAAGAGAAAAAAACAAAGAAAGAGAGAGAGAAAGAAAGAGAGAGGATGGGGAAGAAAGGGGCGTAGAGAGGAGAGTAAAGCCGGCTATCTACTGGAACGAAGCCTTTATCCCTATGTGAGGGAGAAAAAGGCTGCGAGGGGAAAAGCGGTCAACGAAAGAGCGAGGCACAGATGGAAGAACGCGAGAGAGGATACTGTGAATGAGAGAAGAAGGAAAGGGAAAGGGTAAGAGGGAGAGACAGGAGAAGGAAAGAGAATAGAAGAGGAGAGAAGCAGGAGTGGAATAGAGAAGGAGGAGAGAGGGGAAAGGAGAGGGAAAGTAGGGGAGGGAGACAGAGAGAAGGTGGGAGAAGAAGGGAGCTAGGGAGAGACAAGAGAGAGAAAGAGAGAGAGAGAGAGAGAGAGAGAGAGAAAGAGAGAGAAAGAGAGAGAAAGAGAGAGAAAACATATATGAGGCAACAGTGGGGGGAGAGAGGAAAAGGCAGAGAAAGGAGGAGACAATTGGAAAAGGGGAGAAGAAGAGAGGAAGGAGAGGTAGCGGAACGTAGAGAGAAGGAGGAGATACAGAAAAGAGAAAGAGGGGAGGGGACAGAGAGAGAGAGAGGAGGAGGAAGGAGAGAGAGAGA